GCAGGGGGAGTGGGAGAGGGAGAAGCAGGCTTCCCACTGAGCAGGGAGCCCGATGCGGGGCTTGATCCCAGGACCCTGGGATCATGACCTGAGCCTAAGGCAGACGCTTAACGACTGAGCCACCCAGGTGCCCCTAGTTATCCTCTTTTACTATTTTATTTTCTCCTTCAGTCTCTTTCGCTTACCAGTGACACTAGGATTTGAGGCAAAGAATGAAGACTCAGAATGCTGGAGAAGGGAAAGAAGGAACTGGGAGAACTTCATTATACAAAATTGAGTTAGACTCCCAAAAGCGGAGTCTAGTTGACCAGTGTCTAGTTACCGGGGGAAGCCTTTGTTCATTGATATTGGTCGTGACTGTTGTCCCTTTCTGGTCTTTAGAGCCTTCTTATATCCTCCAGTGTTCCCTCCGAATAATGTCTAGTTCTTGAATAATATCTCTCAATTGCAGAGCTGCCAGAAGAGAGAACCAATAATACTACTGGCCACAGCCAGTGTGAGGCCAGTGGTCCAGGCCCACCCAACAAGGAATTGCAAAGAAACCAAAATTTACCTTTGGAGTAAATTACTGATTTACTTAACTACCTGGGAAATTTCAGGTAGCTAAGATATTAAAGAAAAAAAAATGTTTTTCTATACTTCTAGACTCATCCTAAAGGAGCAGAGGCAGAGTCCAGCAGACAAGCCTGGCCCAGCCACAAAGCCAGGCCCATTCCTCTGAGAAGTATGAGGATTTCTGAATATAGCTTAGTGGTCGGTGTGGGGATTTGGATCTGTCTAGGTTCCAGCTGTTTGGAGGGGTAAATGATACCTTCCAGCTGGGAGAATCAGAGAAGAGGTACAAACATTGACTCCTGCTTAGACGAATGGGTTGGATTTGGACCAAAGCGGCGAGATGCACGGCCGTAAACCTCGTGCTCCTGAGGCTCCGCAGTATTTCGTGAATCGCGGTCACTCAGTGACCCACTTGAATCTGGGCGGGGCTAAGCGAGGAAAGATGCGCAGGCGCAGTGCTGACGAGGGCGCTCACCTGTGCTAGGGCGGGCGGAGCTAAACGCTGGAGCGGAAGGCGGGGTGGGCGTGATGACGTCATGGACACGCCGCCGCAGAGCAATTCGCGTCCCGGAAGCGGCGACAGCGGGGAAGGCGGAGGAGGCTCTTCGGTTTGCGACTTCAGAGAGGCCTTTGAAAGAGGCGCGTCCTCGGGGTGGGGCGGTCCTGAGGAAACGCTCCGGGGTCTAGTGGCCCTTCCAGGGCTCCCTGGCCGTCCCCGCCCCTCCCCCACCAACCCAGCGACCGGGTAGGTGAGGTGTCACCACCCCCCCCACCTCCGGGTCTCTGCCGACTGTGTGGAGTTGGGCGCCTGGACGCAGCGGGGGCCGCCACTTGCTGGCCCAGCGACTTTGGGCGTGGCCTTCCCTGGTCTGGACCGCAGGGCCCGAAGGGGCTCCGTGGGCTGCAGAGGGGTGGTGGTCCAGGCCTCTGCCGGCGCTGACCAGCTTCACCCCCTCCAGGGCTTTTTTGGGTCCTTTAGTACGAGCTCCACCTGCGGGTATTTCGGGCTCCCAGTGGCGCCTTGGTCACATCCCCACCCACACCCCCAATCCCAGGTCAGGTCGCAGTCCATTGCGAGGGACTGGCTTATGTTGCTGTGCGTCAAGATTCCGCCCTTTCAGTCCCCTCCTTTTCTTTTTAGGGTTTGGGGTAGGACTTTGAAATTAGGGAAGAGGGTGAGGGGTCTCCCCATCGGAGAGGGGAGATGGGAACAGGGCCTTATGGAAGGAGGTGACTGCCCCGTGGGGTTCAAGGGAAAAGGGAGGGTAATGGGCAGGAATGGTCCAGGAAGTTGTTGGGAACAGAAAGGAGAAGGAAGCGTTAGAAGATGTGGCGGGGAGGGAGAAAGCATGGGAGTCCTAGAGGATGGACAGTTCGTTCACTCATTCACTGAGCATTAATTAACCTTCCACTGAGTGCAGAAGCAGTGGTAAATGGAAGACATAGTTTTTGATCTGGTGGAGCTCCCAAGTTAAGAAGCACAGACCCGCAAGAAAGCAGGGAGTTTTACTTTGGTGTGATAAATGCTGTTAGGGCAAGTACATGATCCATTGGGATTATTGGGGAGGGTCTCCCATTCCAGACTGGGGGCACTGGCAAAGACCTCTCAGATCAAGGGAACAATGTTTCAGCCGCTACCTGAAGGATGAGTAGGAATTAACCAGGTCAGGAGTGGGTGAAAAATATTCCAGGTCATCATTTCTCTTTAGACATCAGGCTGCCTCTTCCCAGCAGCCATGTGCGCTTGGTCTTTATGGTTTATACTCTTGATGGGTCTGTGGGGAAAATAACATTAGTTGGAGAGTCAGAAGAGCAGGATTTATATCTGGGCAATTCACTTCACCCTGCTGAACGTTTTTCCTCTCTGTGAAATGGGTATTCCACCTGTAACCCTTCCTACCTCACAGGTTTATTATAGGCACCACATAGACTAATGTAAGGAGAAGTGTATTGGGGATTGGAAGTGCAATGCAAATGTCAGGAATTATTATGGTTGCAGGATGCAGACATCAGAGCGTGAGGGGAGTGGGCCAGAGGTGAGCCCCAGCGTGATGCCTGAGGTTCCCCTGGAGTCTCCACCTGCCCCTACCAAGTCCCCGGCATTTGATCTTTTCAACTTGGTTCTGTCCTACAAGAGGCTGGAGATCTACCTGGAACCCCTGAAGGATGCAGGTGACGGTGTCCGGTACTTGCTCAGGTAACAGACTGTAGAGTTGCTCTGACCAGCTAGACCTTCTGCTTTTCTGCTCCATAGTTGTGCTGGCCACTTAGGCAGTTGCTGGGCTGTCCTTTCTGCCCTCGTGAGGAGTGGTTCTGGGAGGTCCATTGGTTCCCTGGGCTTATTCCAGACCTACCCCAGGAGAGGCAGGCCCTGGGAACCAGATGGTCTTTCACCAGAGTTTCTTCTTTGTCATTCAATAAGCTCATACATACCTCAGGACTGCTAATTAGCCTTGAACATCGGGCCTTCTAAATCTTAAAGTTGTTTTTTTTCCTTTTCTATCAGTATTAGCATAATTAATATTAAAATTAGGATGTAAAGTTGAACATAAGTTAAATACAAGTACCTGTGAATAAGCAGGTACCCTTTTCACTAATCTTTTAGGATTATGGAGCTCAAAATTTTTTGTTCTTATTTTGCTTTGATTTTCATCCTCCATATAATTTCTTTTTTCCCTTTTCAGCTCACTTTATTTCTTATCTTAAAGAATTTTAAGGACAGATATATGCTATTCCACTCCCTAAATACTTCAGTTTATTTCTAAATAATGACTTTTTTTTTAATGAGAAAAAGCAACATCACACCTAACAAAGTTAACAATAATTTCTTGATATCATCTTATACCCAGTTCATATTCAGATTTCCTCAGTTGTCCCAAGAATGTCATGTTTTGGTCAAATCAGATTGCAATCCAGGACTGTGCATTCTATGTGGTTATAATGTCCCTTGAGTCTTCCCAATCTAAAATAGTTTCTTTTTCATGATACTGACTTGCTGGAGACAGAGCTGACGGTCCTGGAGAATTTCCTACTTAGATTTGTCTGGTTGCTTCCTCATGGTGCAAATTGGAAGTTAAATTTAAAGGTTGGATCATATTCAAGTGAAACTCCCTCCCCCACAAAGGTCATGTGTTCCTAATATTGGGAACCACATAAAACCTGGTTGTCCTACAGAGCAGACATTCATAACCTGGAGCTTGTGAGTGGGGCTTAAGGGCTCACTGAACCTCCTGAGACTACACGTAAAACTTTGTATGTACACGCATGTGTATTTCTAAGGGAGAAGCTTCTAGTTTTCATCAGATTCTCATAAAACTTTCCAGTCCTCTGAGAGAGGCAGGAGGCAGGAGTTGGGTTAACCTGGGTTAACCTTGGGTTAAGAGTGCTATTGAATATTCATTCTTACCTCAGTCTGGAAATAGTGGGAGGTTTATTATTTACTCCCTGAACAAGGCCTTAAATTTTTCTTGTTCACCTCAGAACCCCTTTAATTTATGGCATCAGCCCTAGAAGTGAGCGAGTTTGTATTCCATAGTAGTGTTCTCTACCATTAGATCACTGTCCCCTTGGTGCAAGGGATAGGGGAGATGATGGTATGAGGGGCTTGTTTTATAATCCCACCGTGACCATCCAGCTGAAATGAATTTTAGTCTTCGGGTTTTCTGCTGTACACACATGCAGGTGTGTGAGTCTGTTTGTGTGTTTTACCCTTCTGTGGCAAAGCACAAAAGTTAAATATAGCCTGCCTTTCACCTTTTCCACCACTGGTCTCTTAGTGTTTCTTGGCACTCATATGTTAGGATTTTTCCATTTTATGAAATTAGAAATCTGAGGATGTGGTGGGATTGATTAAAACTGGATGGAGGGGCAGCAGCATTTGGCCTAAAGAGCCTCCAGGAGCTTGTGGTTCTGTGCCACTGGGAGACAGAGCACTGGTCTGTGAAAATGGCTGTCCGATTAGTTTGTGCTTTTGATTGTTCTTTTCTTAGTAAAGAGGATTTGACTTTCAAGAGGGACCTAATCTTGAGCTTTGTCTGTTAGGTCTGAAGCCTAGAGTTGCATTAGATTTTTAAAAGACACCTCTCTTCTGGGATCAGCTACTCTAGTAGGTGGATCTCTATGACCAAAGTGTCAGTAAAGATATGAGAAAGAATGGGGAGGTTTTACAGTGAAAGTGACTTCAGTGGCTCTATGATGTTTTTATTTCTGAAATGGGATTGTCCTGAGACCAGACTTTTTTTTTTTTTTTTAAAGATTTAATTTATTTATTTCACAAAAAGACACAGCGAGAGAGGGAACACAAGCAGGGGGAGTGGGAGAGGGAGAAACAGGCTTCCTGCCGAGCAGGGATCACGACCTGAGCCGAAGGCAGACGCTCAACGACTGAGCCACCCAGACGCCCCCTTAGACCAGACTTTTAATTTGCTCTTACACTTGTAGCTGCCATTAGCTGGTTCTGAGGCCTAATTAGGGTGGCACAGTGGGGGATGCTGGGTTTTCAGAGAAAGGCAGACAGAGGTCATTTCATTCCCTTACTCATAACTTTCACAAAAAAATAGAAGCAGGGGCACCTGGATGGCTCAGTCAGTTAAGTGTCTGACTCTTGATTTCGGCTCAGGTCATGATCTCAGAGTTGTGAGATCAAGCCCTGTGTCATCTCCGTGCTCAGCGGGGCATCTGCTTGAGATTTTCCCTTTCCCTCTCCCTCTGCCCTTCCACTGCTCCCCCTCTTCCCCCACAAAAAAATAAAAGCACATAATTTAGTGAACCTCATTTAGCAACTGAAAGACCTCAATCACAGCAAAAGAAAATACATTGGGGGGTGCCTGGGTGGCTCAGTCGTTGGGTATCTGCCTTTGGCTCAGGTCATGATTCCGGGGTCCTGGGATTGAGCCCCACATCGGGCTTCCTGCTCAGCGGGAAGCCTGCTTCTCCCTCTCCCGCTCCCCCTGCTCGTGTTCCCTCTCTTGCTGTCTCTCTCTCTATCAAATAAATAATAAAATAAAATCTTAAAAAAAAATACATTGAAGTTCTGAATACATTGCTTGCCAGCAGCTTACCTGTTTTCCTCTTTGACTCTTCCTCAGTTGGCTGACCTTATAGATGCTATACTGCTGTTTATTTTTATTTATTTATTTATTGTTAAAGATTTTATTTATTTGACAGAGCGAGAGACAGCAAGAGAGGGAACACAAGCAGGGGGAGTGGGAGAGGGAGAAGCAGACTTCTTGCTGAGCAGGGAGCCCGACGCGGGGCTCGATCCCAGGACCCTGGGTTCATGACCTGAGCTGAAAGTAGACGCTTAACGACTGAGCCACCCAGGCGCCCCTACACTGCTGTTTAGACTATAGGCGTCCATGCCTTTGTTGTTACATCTGTGCTCCTTTTCCCCTATTAAATATCCTTTATCAGGGACGAAGCCAGCAGAATTTGATTGTCCTCAGCAACTCAAGTCTCTGGTCTTCTTTCTTTCCTCTTTGGGGCCTCTGCGCTGCTATTTGGTGGTGTTGGTGGGGGCTGGGTCTTCATGTGCTTCCGGCTGTTCAAGTTCACTTAGGGCATGTCTTATGAAAGAACGCTATACTCCAGTTTCAATTTCTTTTTTAATATATTAAAACAAAATCGGGGTGCCTGGGTGGCTCAGTTGGTTAAGCGACTGCCTTCGGCTCAGGTCATGATCCTGGAGTCCCGGGATCGAGTCCCACATCGGGCTTCCTGCTCAGCAAGGAGTCTGCTTCTCCCTCTGACCCTCCTCTCTCTCACTCCTCTCATGCTCTCTGTCTCTCATTCTCTCTCTCTCAAATAAATAAAATTGAAAAAAAAAAAAAACACACAAAATCTTCATTATTTTTTCTCCTTTTGGATTAATGTATGTTAAAATCTCAAAATTTCAGAAATCAGAGAAAGTCACAAATGCGGTCACAGAAATCCTTCACGTTTTGTTCTCTTGATTTTTGTATTAGATGAATCTTGCACAGTGAGTATATGTTCCTGTGAAATTGTAAAAAAAGAATAAGGGAAAATTTTAAAGAAGAAAGTTCGTCATTGTCACCTCTTAAAGAGACCAGAACCTTACAAAACACGGTTAAACAGTATTAACTGGGTTTCTTAACAGATATTTTATAAATTCTTCTCCTTCTGGGAGAAAGTTCCACAGGTCTAGTTCTGAGAGGATACCTTTCCTTATCCCGGGGCCTAATGTGTGACCTTAACTCCTCTCCCAGTTGCCTGTCTACGTGAGAGGCCCACTTTTCATTTCTCTTTGACACTCTGAGCTCCAGGCCCCCTCCTCCTGCTCCTGGTTTTGATGACCCACCTGTGATGGTTGTCTCCTCCCCCCACCCCCAACTGGAGGAGTGGCCATCTTTAGTGACCAGGACTTTCTTGTGTTGTAGGTGGCAGATGCCTTTGTGTTCCTTGCTGACCTGCCTGGGCCTCAACATCTTGTTCCTCACTTTGAATGAGGGTAAGAACTGATTCCAGGGGCAGGGGGTTTTTGTGAATGGATGTGGGAAGGAATTCCCAGAAGTGGCCACTTGTCTTGCCATGGAGTTGGCCTCCATGTCTGCTTGATGTCAGAAAACCGGCTCTGGAGAGAGACACTCTGGGCTAGAATCCTGGCTGGGTTGTTGAGGTGGCAGGTTCTTTAACCTGTTTGTTAAGGCCTAATTTTCCTCATCTCTAAAGGGAGGATAATAATAGTGCTCTCCTCAGAGAGTAGTTGTGAGGAACGAGGTAGCCTGTATATAACGTTTAGCATGGTGCCTGACATAGAGTAAGCAGCCAGTGTATTGTAGCTATTATTATTGTTTCCTTCTTTTTTTTTTTTTTTTTAAAGATTTTATTTATTTATTTGAGAGAATGAGAGAGAGAGCACATGAGGGGGGGAGGGTCAGAGGGAGAAGCAGACTCCCTGCCGAGCAGGGATTATTGTTTCCTTCTTGACTGAATACTGGTGTTGTGACCTTTTTCCATTTTGATTTCCAAGCTGATTCTGGGGTCAGTGGGGGCATGACATGGGGTGAAGGTGCCAGGAAGGTGAATGGTTAAGAGATTTTTGCCACATACGTTGATTTTCTCTGGCTCAGCAGGTGAGCCTGGAGGGAGCTGCTGGGCAGTCACCAGCTGTGAGGGGTCTGTGGCATGAAGCCTTTGAGGTAGATGTGTGGACAGGTGGGTGGCTCTAGAGATCTTGGGTAGTGATGTCTCCTGGGGACCTTTTGTGACAAGATATACCAGGACCCAGCCCTTTTCCTGTTTGAACTGACAGGTGGCTACAGAAAAAGCTGAACCCCTGGGGGGAGATGTGTGAAAGGCCTGAGACAGAATGTTCTGAGGAGCGGGGTCCTTTATTCATGTATTCATTCTTCTATCAAACTTGCATTTCTCAAGTGTCTCCTTTATTTCCTACACAGATATGGATTCAGTGGGTTGAAAATAAACCCGGTTTTCACATAAGACCTTTTTCTGTTTCTCTTATGACAGATATTTAACTAGCATTTACTCTGTGCCCAGTGCTCTGTTAGCTTGCTCTGGGGGTACCCTGCTACCTGGAAGAAGATCCTTTGGATTTTCTCTCAGCCTCCCCATTTTTGGGTTCACAGTGGTCTGTCTGTGGTATTCTAAAAGCCAAAGGAAAGGCTTCCAGTCTGCTCTGGTGGCCCAGAGGTCAGAGTGTCAGTCACTCCTAGTGGCCAGACTCCAGGCACGAGCCACCTACTGTGTGCTAGCATAGGTTTGTTAATATTAAAAAAAAATGGGTCTGGGGCTATAGTAGTGACCAAACGGATAAAGTCCCAGCCTTCAAGAGCCTATGTTTGTAGAGGAGACAACAACTGTGCCTGTAATCAGTCATGTGGTGATAAATTCTGTGAGGAGAAAATAAAGCTGAGTTAAAGGGTTGGAGAGTGAGCAGGGCAGATACTCTTTCACCCGAGGTGATCAGGGAAGGCCTTTTGGACAGAGCCCTGGAGGAGGTGAGGGAACGAGCATATGGGCATCTGGTGGGCAGAGGCTCCTGGTCCTTGCACCTCATTTACCTGCCGTGTTATTGATCCCATAGGTGCATGGTACTCGGTGGGTGCGCTGATGATTTCAGTGCCTGCCCTTCTGGGCTACCTTCAGGAGGTTTGCCGGCCACGGCTGCCTGAGTCTGAGTTGATGCGGAGGAAGTATCACAGCGTGAGGCAGGAGGACCTCCAGAAAGTTCACCTGTCTCGCCCCGAGGCTGTGGCTGAGGTGAAGAGCTTGTGAGTATGGAAGGGGCTGGGGAGATGGGACATGGTCACAGTAATAGTGGCCACCACACTGAGTGCTTGCTTTGGGTGAGGCGTTGTATAAGGGAAACCACAGATGTTCTTTCCTTTGATCTTTTGAACAGCTCTGGGAGGTAGCTACTGTTATTATTCTCCATTTATGGATGAAGATAAAGGCTTACACAAGGAAAAGGTGACCAAGCTGGGATAAGAATCCAGATCTAGCTGATTTCACAACTTGTGCTGTTTCCACTAGAGAGACAGTTTAGGGTCTTGACTGAGCGCTTGCACACGTGAGCCACAGCCAGGGTTCAAATCCCAGCCCTCCATTTACTTGCTCTGTGGCATTGGGTGGGTTGCTCAGTCTCCCTGTGCCTCAGGTTCCTCACCTGTTAAATGGCATAATAGTAGACTTACCTCATAGGTGGTTGTGAAGACTGAATGAGTGTCTCGTACCCAGGAAGTGTTCAGTAAAGGTCAGTCACCATCACTACACTATCGAGAAGCTTCCTAAGTGTGACAGAGCTGGTACTTCCGAAGAGCCATATTAAGACCGTTGAATAACATAAACCATAGCATCTGCAAAGCTTCAAAAAAAAGTTACAAACGGAGGCCTGGGCCTGGCCCCTGTCTGAGTCAGTTTTCTGGAGTGGGGTCTAGGTATCCCCCACCTTTTTTAAATGACTTTAAACTCAAATGGGAGTTGCAAGAATAATACAGAGGAACTCCCATAGGCCCTTTACCCAGCTAGAACAATTATTAACATTTGCCACATTGGCTTCATCTATTGCTCTTCACTTGCATGTTACTTTTTTTCTTCCTGAACCACTTGAAAGTAAGTTGCAAGCATCATGCATTTTTTTTTTTTTATTAGATTTTTTTTTTATTCTTATGTTAATCCCCATACATTACATCATTAGTTCTAGATGAAGTGTTCCATGATTCATTGTTCGTGCACAACACCCAGAAGCATCATGCATTTTTACCCCAAATACTTCTTTCCTAAGAACAAGGACGTTCTCTTATATATTCATAATCGTATGATCAAAATTAGAAAATTTTACATGGCTAACATTAGCATTTCTGAAGTTATCTAATATATAGTTCATAATCAGATTTTACCAGTGGTATTAATAAGGTCTTTATATAAATTTCCCCTCCTCCAGAATCCAGTCCCGAGTCATACGTTACATTTAGTTTTTTATGTCTTCTTAGTCTCCTGTAACCTGAAATACTTCCTTAGTCTTTGTTTCTCATGACCTTGACACTTTTAAATAAGATGAGCTTATTATTTGTAGAATTTCCCTCAATTTGGGGTTGTTTGGCTCCTTATGATTAGATTGCATTTTTCCAGGAATATGACAAGCAATGTGTTGTTGTCAGTATATCATATCAGGAGGTACATCATGTCAGTCTGTCCCATTAGGGGAGATTCTAACTTTGATCGTTTGGTTAAGGTTTCTCTACTATAAAATGACCATTGCTGGGTCTTATCTTTATCACTTTATTACTGTGATAGTTGTGAAGGTGATTTTCTAATTGGCATTGTTAGCTAGCATCTGCTCTAAGAAAGAGCTCTTCCATCTTATCAGTATGAACTCAAGATTCTTAATTTTATTTAATGGGTTGTAATCCATTACTGTCATTATTTTGATCTCATTGTCCTAGGTTTGGCAGTAGGAGCTCTTTTGAACTGGCTCCTGTGTTCTTTTGATATGTCCCCATTATTTTTTTTTAAGATTTCTTTATTTATTAGTGTGTGAGCGCATGCGCATGGGGGTGGGAGGGTGGGGGTGGAGGGGCAGAGGGAGAGAGAGTCTTAAGCAGACTTCCCGCTGAGCATGGAGCCTGGTGTGGGGCTTGATCCCACAACCCCGAGATCATGACCTGAGCCAAAATCAAGAGTTGGATGCTCAACTGACTGAGCCGCCCATCATTTCTGAGTGCATATGATATTCAGATTCATCTTTTCTTTTTCTTTTTTTTTTCTTTTTTTAAAGATTTTATTTATTTATTTGAGAGAGAGAGAATGAGAGACAGAGAGCATGAGAGGGAAGAGGGTCAGAGGGAGAAGCAGACTCCCTGCCGAGCAGGGAGCCCGATGCGGGACTTGATCCCGGCACTCCAGGATCATGACCTGAGCCGAAGGCAGTCGCTTAACCAACTGAGCCACCCAGGCGCCCCGATATTCAGATTCATCTTATGCTTGCACTGTTCCTGCTCTGGAATCAGCCATTTCTCCATGGAGCCTTTCAGAAACCAAGATCTGGGTGCAGCATGCATTCATTGCTTCCGGGGGTGTATCTATTAAAAAATACTCTCCAAGTGAGTCTGCCTTACACCCCAGGTGAAGACACAGTGATCTCTATCCTGCCATTTATCCTACGGCTGCAGTGTGTCTGTGAGGGGGGCTACCCTGCTCCTCATTTTACCTCGGCCCTGGGAAAGTTAAGCAGCTGGCCCGACATCAACAGCTAGGAAGAGACCCAGGCGGGAACATTTGTCCTTTGTGCATCTCTGTAGGGGTTCTGAAAGGGGGACTGAAATGTATGCAGGTTCTCCTGAGCTCTCCGGCCCCTCCCATGGGTTCGAAGAGACCAGCTGTCCCTGGCTAGCTGTGCCCATGAAGTCCTAGGCTCTGTGGCCCCAAGCTCTGGCAGGCCTGTGGGTGTGCGGCTCACGGAAGGCCCCCCACCATGCCCACAGCCTGATCCAGCTGGAGGCCTTCCTGAGCTGCCTGTGCCGCACCTGTGAAGCTGTCTACCGCGTGCTGCGTTGGGAGAACCCCGCCACATCCTCGCAGTGAGTGGCCCCTGGTCTCCCCACCGCTGCCCTGCAGGGCTTTGCTCAGGGGAGGAGAGCCTCTGAGGCTCTTGTGTGCAGACCTGCACGTGAACTTGTGGGCTGGGATGTATGGCTTTTGTTTAGACACCTTTTAGGTGTAGCAACAATATTTTAATAGTAGAAACATAACTCACCATGTAATCTCTCACCCACTTGTTTGATTAGCAGATGTCGTGTTTATTAAGTGTGCCCGTTGCCATGTGGCTGTGCTCCAGAGTGATTTCCTTCTAATCACAGGAATTTCTGATGCTGCGATTCCTCTCTGTCGATGCAGGTTCTATGGGGCTCTTCTGGGCACGGTTTGCGTGCTGTATCTGCTGCCCCTGTGCTGGGTCCTTGCCCTTTTAAACAGCACGCTCTTTCTGGGGAACGTGGAGTTCTTCCGAGGTAAGCCGTGGACAGCTCGGCAGAGATGGGGCCGAGGCTCTGGGGGCTAGGTGAGGCTCCCCCGATTGTCTGTCTCTACAGCTAATCATCCGTTTGCTGTGCCTTCCACAAGGGGGCAGCACCACACCAGGGTAGTTTCTGGGAGGGCTCCTGGGCTCTGCATCTGATGGCAGGGGGGATCCAGGGAAGGCTGCTACTGTCGGGGTCCCTTTCCCTTCCCGAGGCAGGTGAATCCCTGCTTATGTGATGTGGTGGCTTCTGGGAGATGAGGGAGGGATGTTTTCCCAGTGCTGCCACCCGCCTCCTGGGACGCAGCCACCTGGAGTAGCTGCTACTTCTCTGTGTGATCCCGGAGTTCTCATCTGCTGTCTAGCTTCTAAAGCCGTGAGGCAATCTGGAGAGGCCCTGAGCCACAGAAACCTGGGCTTCTACATATGTTTGGGTGATTGCTATATTTGTTTTCTTCCCTGTAGTTGGATAATTACAGAAGCTGTAATTCATCGAGCACTTACTACATTTAATCCCTCTATAACAATCCCATGGGGTGGGGGGTAGGATCTCTGTTTTGCTTATGAGGCTTAGGTTAGGTGATCTGTTCAGAGTTAGGAGGGTGACTTTCTTGCAGCAGAGAGTGGGCTGCTGGTGGAAGAGGCCAGCCACCTGTAGAAGGGGGTACCCGCAGAGCACCACTCATTCCATCCTGTTTCTGCCTCCCACTCTGTTCTTGCCCTGGGTAGTGGTGTCTGAGTACAGGGTATGTCTGCAGCGGCGGCTGCAGCCCAAGCAGAAAGACAGCGTCTTTGAGAGCGCACCACCGCTGGAGGCTGAGGGGACGTCTGCTCTGCCGGACTGCACGCCCGCACCCACGCCCACAGAGGTGAGTGCCCCGCGCCATCAGGGCAGAGCCTCATGCGGGCAGGTTGGGGAGCCTTCTGGTTCCCAGCTTGTTCATGCCACACAGCTCCTGGCCTCTGTACATTCCTGCTGCTTCCCTGGCCGCCTCTTTTCTGAAACGTTTCATAACAATAATTGTAATGATAACAGCTACTGTGTGCTTTGTGGAATGCTGACTCCGCTGTTCTAAGTACTTTACAGATATCAACCCTGTGAGGTGTAGGTTGCTTCTAAGAGTGAGAGGGTTCTCTTCTGCAGAGGAGAAGGCTGAGGCACAGAGTTCTTGTGCCAGCGTGGGGGGGCCGGGACCCAGAGCAGGCCCTGTGGTTCGGGCACCTGGCTGGGCAGCCACCACAGGGCCCTCTGTGCCCTTGGGCCCGTTTCCCTGTGTCTGCTAGGTCAGAGGTGCCCTCCTTCCCGTGACTTCTTTCTTGCAGGTGTGCCATCTCCTCTGGGGCAGGAATGGCTGTTTTAGGCAACCTGGACGTTTGCTCCAGGAAGCTGGTGGCCTCTACCTTAGAGGGCAGGGCTGCCCTCACCTCTCCCTCTGTAATAATCTCTCTTCCCAGGACCTCACGCCTGGCAGTGTGGAGGAGGCCGAGGAGGCTGAGCCCGATGAGGAGTTTAAAGATGCGATTGAGGTGGGTGGCCCTTCCCCACCACCCTCTACCGATCAGGCTAGAAGCCTGGTCCGGGAGCTGGGTGGCTTCTCACATCCCAAGTCTAGGTTTTTCAGTCCTCTTTATCCAAATGAGCAGTCAGAACTTGTGAGCTAGAGCTCACTGGATGAAAGGGTGCCTCTGAACTTCTGCCCATTCTGTGCCTGACCTCATCTGTCATGCATGCTCAGGGGTGGGAAGGCTCTGGAAGCCTCTGGGAAGCACCCTGTGTTGGGGGGTGGATCATTTACCTCCTAGGCTGGAGACTCTAGGCTTGGTGCCTTGGATGTGGGGCAGGCAGATTTGGGGGAGGGCACTGTTCCGGGTCTCTTGCTGCTCTTACGCAGAATGAGGTTTGAAAGATGTCTCTTTGGGGGGCAGGGAGGGGAAGCTGGAGAAAGTGGTTATAGGCCAAGGATTAGGTCAGAGTCCTCCTGATTTTAAGACAGTGATTCAAACTGGTAGTTTACAGAAGCATTTTATCTGGCATCCAAGACTTAAGAACATTTACAAATGGAGAGATTTCAATGACAAGCCTGCATTTTCAGTTTCTCTGAAAAAGCAGCTCTGGTAGCCCCGAGTGTGCGGTGGTCAGTGTAGCTGAGGAGTGACTGTCCCCTTTAGAAAAGTCACCTAGTCCCCACCCCTGCCTCCACCCTCCTTGCCCCTGGTCACTGAGTCCTAGTGTGGTTGCTGTTGTCACAGCTGTGCTGTTGCATTTCCATATGGCAGGAAGTCATTTCTCCGTCTCTTTGTAAAGGGGGACATTGAGGTATAAGAAAAGGGCCTTGTGCATTGCCTGTGATTTACCCTAGCCCATTTCACTCTCACCTCAGCCTCATCTACGTCAGCATTTACATTTTCAACTGCTTAAAGATTTCTCCCAGACTCGAATATACGACTGCAGGCTGTGCATCTTGGTGCTGGTGGTGTAGGGAGTGTACACACCAGGGCTTTCGGGCTCTTCAGTTCCTAACCCACAGTAGTGACCACATTGTACATCTTGGCCTAGTTCACACTTAACGTCGGTAAAATGTGTAAAACTTAAATGAAGCAAAAGTTTTCTGAAAATACATTCTAAGGGATATTTTCTGTTCTCTTCTAATGAAGTAATGAGCAACTTTTAATGCATTATTTCACCCAGTTTGAGAAACCGTAGTACCCAGCTTCTCTCAAGCCGATTTGACGCTGGGCTCCTTTTCTGGGGCCTCTGTGAACGTCACCCTCTGTGGCGTGCTCAGGCAGAACTCAGAGTGGCGCTTCCGTGTTTCCTTTTGCCTGGGGCTCTTCCTCTCAGCGGCGTCCTTCTTGCTATCTCTCTCTGTTTTCTCTTCTCTCCTTCTCCCGCGCACCTTGGGAGGCAGGAGACACACTTGGTGGTGCTGGTAAGTAGGAGCCTTGGGGAGGCAGGCAGGGGCCGGGCAGGGGGAGGGTGACTGAGCTGGCTGTCCCCGTGCCTCATGGGGTCGGCCGTGCTGGGGGCCTCTGCACGGCTACGAGGTGGGCGGGATTGGAAGGAGCTGTTCCCACAGGAGGATGATGAAGGTGCCCCGTGCCCAGCAGAAGATGAACTGGTTCTGCAGGACAACGGGTTCCTGAGCAAGAATGAGGTGCTGCGTAGCAAGGTGTCACGGCTCACAGAGCGGCTCCGCAAACGCTACCCTACCAACAACTTTGGTACGGCCAGGGCTGAGGAATGGGGGCGGTGTGGGCACCATGGGGCCAGAGTTTCGGAATTGTGGCTCCTGGTTTGTGATGAGAGCAAGGAGTAAAGCTATGTCTACGGGCCCCGGGGAAGGTAGTGCACACAATGGGACTGCCAAGGGAGTGAGTGTGGGTTCCTTCTTGAACGTTAACTTGCGGGAAGTTGAGGCACTCTGTTCCAGAAACGCCACTTCAGGACTATAGAGAGATGTAATCCTGAGGCAGAGACTCAGAAGGCAGTGTGGCATGATGGCTGAGAACAGAATGTAGTGTCTGACTGCCTGGTGTAAATCCCAACTTTGCTCAAGGTGTCCTTGAGCAAATGATGTAACCTCTCTGTGCCTCAGTTTCCCTTTCTAAAAAAGGGCAGTAATAACAGTTCTTACCTCACAGGGTTCTTAGAGGTCTCTAATGAGGTGATGTTTATTAAGTGGTAGCACAGTGCTGGCTGGGTCACAGTAAGTGCTTAATAAGGGGTGCTGTTAACATGAGGGGTCCTGGTCCATCCTGCAGGTGCCTAGCAGCTTGTCTGGATCTTCCCTACTCAGGTTGAAACAAGTTGAAGCAAAAAGTATCTTCCTCTGCACATGATAGAACCCTGAGGTCCCTTCTCCTCAGCCAAGTTCATGGACTGGCTAGTCCTTATTTTCCTGGGGGGGTGGGGGTGGGGTGGATCAAGGAAGGCAGCTTTGGAGAAGGGTAGACTTGACTGTTGGCATGGTGGGAAACCTGTCTCAGACCAGGAGAGCGGTTGCTGAGCCAGACAGAGTTCTGGCTGAAGAGGGCAAGTGACTTGGGGGTCATGCTGGTTTTGAGGAAGAGCCTTGTTTCTGCTTGGAGTCAGCTGCCAGGAGGAGGAGGTGGCTACACTGTGTGTTCTGGTGGGAGTGAGTTCTAGGCTCTGCACCCTGGGAGAAGCCCTGGTTCGTTTGAGGCATTTGACCCAGGGCATCCAGGGGCCTGCCTTCCTGCCCCTGTAGCACCCAGGGCAGTTGTTTTTCAGGATTCGAGGTCCTGGACATGCTTTTTCTTTCTGCTCTGTGAGTATGCCCCAGTCATTTCGAGTTCCCTTTTATTTGTGATGATCACTGACTTCTCTGGGGCACTGTGTTCAGTGCACTTGCATGTACACGGTCTCATCTAGTCCAGATGGTAGGTGTGATAGGGACAGGCAGTTCTTAGGGGCTTAGAAGCAGCTGGGTTCCAGAAGTCCCAAGTGACACTATGTAAGAATTAGTATTCTTGCTCTAGCATGTGATTCATTCGTCAGTATGAATTTTAAGTAAAGGCCCTTAGATGTTCTCATTTGCAGGTGAGTAACCTCAGGTGAGAAAAGTGATTTGCCCCATGTCTTCAGCCATGGTTGAGCTGTGACTCAAGTCTAAGCCATCTGGTCTGGCTCCTCTGTTCTTGTGTTTTTTTCTCACTCAACATGCTCCCTTTTTGCCTTAGTGTCTGAAGTCCTCTGGCTTTATGTCTGTCTTATTTCAGTATTTGGTTTTTGGTTCAGGTAATCCCGGCCGGGTTGGTGAAGGCCTTTCAGGTTCACATGAGGCTGGCAAGGGCAGAAAATGCTGCTTTTTTCTAAGCCTCTCTTAATTCCCATTCTTTAAGACTGCTCACGGTCTTCTCCCTGAGATGTTCTCAGGCTCCTTGCTGTTGAGGGCAGGTACAGCAGCTCTGCTCCTGGGTCTGGCTCCCAGGGTGAGGTGAGCAGATTTCGGGGCCACTCCATTCTGGCTGCCCGTGGAGGATGGGGATGCATGGGACAAATGAGGACAGGCTGCTCAGGGGCTTCTATGTGGCCCTGTTCTGTCCCGGAGGCTCTTTGACCGTTACCCTGGCAGGGCCCATGCAGTCTTAGGCTCTTTCTTGCTCCTGTGGCATCATCACATGATGAGTCAGGCCCTTTGCTAAGGATGGGGGCAGGGAGAGTCAGAAGATTTTGGAAGGGAACAGGGCTGCTCTCCTCCATATACCTGTCTTGAGCTGGTGTCAGCATCCTAAGCCCTCCCAGGCCCAGGCTTGTGCTTGGGTACATGTTGGTTTCACTAGACCACATGGCTGCCCTGGGATGCTTGGCCCTGACATTCCATCCTGGACTTGGGCCTGAGTGTCAGTCTTTGAGTGGCTCCAATCCCCTGCCCCATGCCCCTTGTCCCCCTTGTTCCCCTTGTTAAGGAGAAGCAGAAGTGGGTTGCTTTTTTTTTTTTTTTCTTTTAAAGATTTATTTATTGGGGTGCCTGGGTGGCTCAGTGGGTTAAATGTCTGCCTTCAGCTCAGGTCATGATCTCAGGGTCCTGGGATTGAGCCCTACATCGGGCACCCTGCTTGGTGGTGAGTCTGCTTCCCCCTCTCCCTCTGCCTACCCCACCCCCACTCATGTTCTCTCACTCTCAAATAAATAAATAAAATCTTAAAAAAAGAAAAAAAAAAGATTACTTCTTAGAGAGAGAGAGGCTCGATCTCACAACCCATGAGATCATGATCCGAGCCTAAACCAAGAGTTGGACGCTTAACCGCCTGAGCCACCCGGGTGCCCCGAAGTGGGTTGCTTTGCCCACATTCTTAGTGTGGGGGACAAAGACTTGGAGTAGCGTGGTTGCTGGTTTGGCATCAAGGCAGCAGTACCTGCTATGCTTTTCCCTCTCCTCTGCCAGGCCCCAGGAGCTACCTGGCAGCAATGGCATTCACCTTACGCACCTTGGCCTCAGGCTTCTCCTTGCTCTATCTTGGGCAGGCCCGTCTTTCCTTGAACACAGGGAGTGTCCTGTAACAAGGGCTGCAGGGGGTTCTGGAGGAACAGAGGAAGAGACCACATGTAGCTCTGGGCCTTTGTGTGAAGGTGAGGCCGGGGGTTCCGTACCTGGCCACATAGGTGGTTCAAGAGGCCCAACAGTGCTTCCTGAAGCTGCTAATTGCTCTGGCCAGATCCCAGGAGGCCTTTGGGCCCCAAGTTGTAGACACTTACTCCAGTAGCTTTATTATCCACTCTCAAGTGTTTTCAGGACCCAACTCAGCTTCCTTCTGGGCCCGTAGCCCTGGGCTGGGCTCTGTAGCCCCTTTCGGGAGCACCTTCATGCCCACCGTGGACCCCTGGGCTTTTTCCCCTGGCTCAGTGCCCCCTGTTTACATGGAGATTTTTGCCTCCTGGGGATAGCCCTTGGAACCTTCTTTGTTCTCTTCAGGGTTTGCTTTTGTTCCTGGAGCTTGGTGAAGCCATCAGGCACAGTGTGGCCTTTCCTCTCCTCCTCAGGCCTCAGTTTGCCTCCGCCTTTTGGTTCCCTTCATTCACCTGCATGCGCCCCCTTCAGCAGACTGTGTCTTTGCTGCAGTCCACCTTTTCCGTCTGTAATTTTCCTGGGAGCACGGGTGGGTGGTGAGCATAGTAGCTTCTGAAAGAACCGTCGGTTCCCTCCCTCCCTGTCCTTCATCTCTTCTTACAACCCCTCGCCTCCTCCCTTGCATTTGCTAAGCTGCTGTTGACTCCTCCAGCATGGTCCGGAAACTTGATCATCTCGTGTGTGGTGGTTTAGGTGGAGTCTGTCACGGCTCTGCCCTGCTCCGTCCTGCCCACCACTCAGTGTCTGTGCCCCTGCCCTGCATATCTTCTTGGAAGGTGCCTGGTTCTGAGCTCCTCTCCTGGAATCTTCAGATGACAGGAAGCAGGAGTCTGGGGTTCTAGGCATTTCTGAATTACCTGTGGGCAGACTATTTGTAAGGAGGCACTTAGGAAAGGGTCGTGGCAGGCAGGTTTCATCTGAGCTCATTGGAGCTGCCTTCTCTGAAGGATGCCTGTTATCAGGTCCCCCCCTAGCTTGGTGTGATTTCCAGAGAGCAGATTCTGCTGGATGCTTTTCGGTTTTGGCAGGACCTGCAGGTGGGGCCTCTTAGTCCTGGGAGGGCACACAGACTGGCAGCTGTGTATAGTATGGAGACATGGATTCTCAGGGACCATGGGAATTTTCCTTGTTTTTTTTTTTTTTCCTTAAAGATTTTATTTATCTGAGAGAGAGCGAAAGCAAGAGAGATTACAGAGGGAGTGGGAGAAGCAGACTCCCTACTAAGCAGAGAGCCAGATGCGGGGCTCCATCCCAGGACCCTGAAATCATGACCTGAGCCTAAGGCAGATGTTTAACCGACTGAGCCACCTAGGTGCCCTGGGAATTTCCTTATTAGTTTGAGTCCCCTTCTGTCTCTGGATCTGGACTTTGCTCACCCCTTTTTTCCCCCAAAGATTTTATTTGAGAGCGAGAGCGAGAAAGCATGAGAGATCACGAGCTAGGGGGAGGGGTAGAGGGAGAAGCAGACTCCCCACTGATCAGGGAGCCCTATGTGGGACTCGATCCCAAGACCCTGGGATCATGAGCTGAGCCGAAGGCAGATGCTTAACCGACTGAGCCCCTCAGGCGCCCTGGACTTTGCTCCCTTGCTCACTGCTCCCAGCCATGATTGGGCTGGGCTGGCATCCTGAGTGGTCCCATAGAAGAGCCAGGAACAGGTGAGAGTTCAGAGCCCTGGGCTAGCTCGAGGCTGAGCTGATGCCTCTGTTTGTCAGGGAACTGTACGGGCTGCTCGGCCACCTTCTCAGTGCTGAAGAAGAGGGTAAGTCTCCTTGAGGGTGTGTTTGCGGGGACTTGGGATGAGGTGCAGGGCAGTAGCGGGGAGTCATTGGGCCACATTGGGCCTGGGGTCCGAGGTTTGCTCAGGTGAGCGAGGATCTGCTGTCCCTGTGCCCATGCCTTCACTAGCCTTCCCATTGGATGTTGTGTTTACTCCGTCCTGCCCCCACTTGGGCACCTCCCTGTTCCCATGGTAGTCCCAGGTTCCTTGGGTGAGATCAGCTGATGGGACGGTGGGGGGCTCCCGCTGTGGGCGATGCATCTGATATTGACTATGGCTCTTCGCAGCGGAGCTGCAGTAACTGTGGAAACAGCTTCTGCTCTCGGTGCTGCTCCTTCAAGGTGCCCAAGTCCTCCATGGGGGCCACAGGTGAGTGGTGCAGGCGGCCCGGGGTCAGGGCGTTGGGAGGGCTTGGCTGGTTCCTGCCTCCTCCAAGGGCTGCTGCAGCGTGGGAAGGGAACAACGGGTCAGTGAGAAGGCAGGGGGACTCGGGATCCTGTCTGGCCTGGAGAAACATCTCCACTGTCCTTTAACAGACAAAACACTGAAGTATTTTAGGCATGCAAAAGAATATATTTAATATATCTGAATTATAAGGCTTAGTAGTGAATATCTGTGGCTTCTTCACTGAAGTTAAAAAACAGAGCATTAGCAGCACCTCAAGGCTCCCAGCACCACCCTGCCTTCCCCAGAGGAAACCACTGTGCTGAATTTTATTCTTTTTCTCATTAACTTGGTAACGCTTTTAACAAAATGAAAAATTTCTTTCCTTCTATAAAACTTGTACATACTCATTGTAAACAAAACCAAAGATACAGATAAACAAAGGAAGGGCACCGTGTGCAAGATACATATGTATGCACATGCACGTTCTACAAGTAGTGGGAGCATGTTCTGCACACTGCCTATAATGTGCTGTAATCAGAAATTGAGGCTTTTTTTTTGTTTTTCTTGTCATGCAAGTAGCATATGCTTATTCTAGAAGATTTGGAGATCATTATATAGGAGGAGGAAGAAAAAAGTAATCATGTAATCTTACTACCTAGAGATAACCGCTGTTAAAACATGTTGGAAAGTTTTCTTCTAGTATTTTACTAAAAAAAATTTTTAGTGGTGTTTTGTTGGTGCCAAAATAATTTCTAATGCAGAGCACCTGGGAGAGGCCTGCTCTTGGTATGGTCACTCCCGAAGTCCCCAGTCCACACGGAAAGAGGAGTCTGAGGGCAGGCTAGGGAGCTGGGTTAGCGAGGATGTGGGCTGGGTGGTGGGTGGCTTGTGTGGGGCTTTGGGGGTCGGGGAGATGGTTGTAGTATTGGGGGCCAAGAACCAAAGGGCATGAGGAAGTTTCTCACCAAGTTCTTCCTCCTTTTCAGCCCCCGAAGCCCAGAGAGAGACTGTATTTGTGTGTGCCTCGTGTAACCAGACCTTGAGCAAGTGAGAAGAGGGGCTGGGGTCCAAAGTGGGCGTCGGTCCTTGGGGCCAGCAGCAGGCCTCACTTTCCTGTCCCTAGCCCCTTGTGGTGTGTGCTGGGCAAATGTGGCCTGAACGCTCGGTAGGCTTCCCCTTCCTATCCTTGCTGTCTCCAGCTGGGGGGGTTCTGGAGCTGCTCCCCTCTCTTGCGGGTGGCTAGTAAGTGGCAGTTCTCAAAACCCAGAGGGAAGAGGAGCCCCTGGAGGGTCTGGCAGGTTTGCCCTCCTCTGCCCTGGGCTGAAATTAGTGGACTCAGAGCTGGGCAGGGAATATAAACTAGAGGGCAGTAGTGAGCTAGGCCTGGTCTCTGTAGGGATCTCTGAGCATCAGGGTGTCTCTCCACACACCTCACAATTCTAGGAGACCACAGATCAGAGACTGGGAGAAGAGATTCTTCCTTTGCTGGTTCCTGGGCCAGCCCCTTGGCCTCTGAGAGCCTTCAGAAGGGCTTGGGCATGGCATAACCCAGCTCTGCTGCTTCAGGCATCAGCATCTCATTGTTTCTCCACCAGAGGGTGTGGCCAGAGCTAACAAGACCAAAAGTCCTAGATCAGGGTTGAAGTTTCCATGTTCTCCCAGAGGACGGCGTGTTTAGAAGGGCCTGTCAGAGTCCTTTAGTATTAAATGGAGCAAAACATAGGGAGCCCCAGCAGCTCAAAGGACATCAGGCTCACCTTGCAGAAACTTTGACTTGCAGAATCTCAGCCCACATATTACCCTGGTGACAGTCTCCCTGGGTAGATGCCAGGCATTCAGATCACTCTTACTCCTCCTGTTCAGAGCCACAGGCACCCCTCCTCTGGCCCAGAGCTGTGTTCCCCCTCCCTGGCCCCTTGTCCCATGGAGTGTGAGACAGGCGAGCAGAGTAGAGGTCCTGAAGCCCTTGACCCTTGGGGGCCTGGGAAATGTAGGATCTCTCCGGGCTGGGTCCTAGATTCTGGTGCTCTTCCTCAGCAGGACAGTCTAACTTAAGGGTTAAGGCCATGGAGGTCCCCATCCTCTCTTCAATAATTGTATGTTCACTCTGGACTCTTAGGGCACCAGTGTCTCTTCCTAAGCCTTGAGCGGGCTCAGGCACCCTTTCTCTCCCCTGGAGCTACCCTGCCTTTTTGAAGTATTTATTTATTTATTGCATGGTTCCTGGGAACATGTGGCACAAGGAGTGGGATGGAGACAGTGGGGGGCTTCTCCTGCTCCAGGATGCTTCCCTGGAGTCATGGGCTGGCGGGGACCCAGGACCCATAGGAGGCTGAGCAGGGATCCGAGGAGGCAAGCTGGGGAGACAAGGCCATCCTGGGCCAGCTTTCTGGGGCTAGTTAGGGCTCGGCAGCCAGGGGCCTGCAACAGGCCAGGGAGGTTCAAGTCCCTGGGGAACCAGGCAGGCCTCGGGCTCCTTTGTTAAGAGATGAGAGTTAAGTACCCTGTGCTTTATTTACACTGGAGAGGAATGAAAAGGATCTCTGTGTATATGGAGAATTGTCAATAAAAAGGCCCTCAAGCTTCTGACCTTTTCGTCCTGGTCCTTGCACTAACCCTCTCTCTGAGGCTGGAGAGCCAGAGTCACCCTGCGCTGGCTGAGTTTGCAGGCCTGCACTGTGTCTGCAGGACAGGGCTGGAGGGGGCATGGAGGCTGCTGTCGTCGGCGGGGTG